GGATGCGGGCCACCACCAGCTCGCCCAGCTCCACCCGGAACGTCACGCCCTGCGGAGGGGGAGCGCTCAGTCCTGCGCGAGCCAGGCCCCGGGGCCACCCCCGGCTGCCTCTGCCTGACAGGAGGGGGGGAGGCGGAGTGGAGCCATGGGGGCGGATGAGCCCAGCCAGCTGTTACCTCCTGGCCGGACAAGGCTGGGCAGTAGGGGGCTGCCCCCCGGCCTGGCTTAGTGAGGACTGTGTGTGATGGCAGAGCTGCTGGGAAGGGCCTCCCCACACATCCCCATCCCCACACATCCCCATCCTCCTGTCTCCTCCCCACACATCCCCATCCCCACACATCCCCATCCTCCTGTCTCCTCCCCACACATCCCCATCCCCACACATCCCCATCCTCCTGTCTCCTCCCCACACATCCCCATCCCCACACATCCCCATCCTCCTGTCTCCTCCCCACACATCCCCATCCCCACACATCCCCATCCTCCTGTCTCCTCCCCACACATCCCCATCCCCACACATCCCCATCCTCCTGTCTCCTCCCCACACATCCCCATCCCCACACATCCCCATCCTCCTGTCTCCTCCCCCCATCCCCATCCCCACACATCCCCATCCTCCTGTATCCTCCCCACACATCCCTATCCCCACACATCCCCATCCTCCTGTATCCTCCCCACACATCCCTATCCCCACACATCCCCATCCTCCTGTATCCTCCCCACACATCCCTATCCCCACACATCCCCATCCTCCTGTATCCTCCCCACACATCCCTATCCCCACACATCCCCATCCTCCTGTATCCTCCCCACACATCCCTATCCCCACACATCCCCATCCTCTTGTATCCTCCTCACACATCCCCATCCCCACACATCCCCATCCTCCTGTCTCCTCCCCCCACACCTCTAGCCCCACACATCCCCTCCCTCACATCTCTGCCCTATACATCTCCTCCCCTCACCTACATAGCTTCCCAAAGCCTCTGGCCCCCCAGAGCCCCATCCCCATACTCCCATCTTCCAAACTCCTCCCCTCACAGAGCACCCCCGCCTCCTCCCCCCCACACCCCATAGCCTGCCCAGTCCCGACCCCTCCCTGCGGTGATGCAGAGCGCTGGCCCCTCACCCAGCCTGCCACAGAGTGATTAATAGAGCGGCACTGATGCCCTGCCGGAGGGGGAGGGG